TACAGTGAATTTCGGGGTGGCTACAGCCCCCCAATAGCCCCCACCCCCCAAGTTACACAGTTTCAAATTTTGTGTGAATCAAAAAGAATATTGTAGTAGAAACCTAAAGAGAAAGGTAATGCTACTGTACTCTAGTGTGGCCATCAAGTAAAGCTGAGGATCTGTTATAGACATTACAGTTGTTAGAGAGCTATTTAATATGCAGTTCAGCTCTGACAGTGACCATAAAAAGTTCTTGGCTCTACAGGTATGCTACTTTTACAGATTCAGAATGAAAAATGTCTTTGTTTATTGAAAAAAATAAATAAGTGTTTGGACTTTGCCCCTGAGGAGACTGCAGAGCAAGTAAAACTTTGGGGAAAGAGTAGGATTCCATTCTGGCTCAGGCATTGTAAATGTGCCCATCTACTAAATTTCAGTTGAGAAATATACAAATAAAGGAAAACAACCAAAAATAGAGAGTAAAAGGGGAATAATGTAAGGGAGAAAAATTAACAGTTGAATGTGAACTGAATGTGAACTATTATGGGAAAGAATGGGAGACATGGAGGAAAAACTGGTATAAAAAAACAAATTCCATCACTGATAATTTTATAAATAGCTGCCTTCATCTAAATGTCACAAAACTACTTCTCTACTCTGTCAAGGGTTTTAGGAGAGAGAGCTTAAATTAAACCCTTCAGAAGGAATTGTTGGGGGTTTACTTGGCGGTTTACTTGGGGGTTTACTTTGCCCTAAATTGAAGCGGTGTTTTTAAAAACCCACCGCCTCAATTTAGGGCCCCCATTTCATCTACACGTGCCCTTAGGCAGCATACATTCATTAGGCACATTTGCACATACACATGCAGACACAGGCAATATGGTTTCTCCTTCAGAAATCAAACTGTAGCAATTATAGCAAGCTGCAAAACTTTTTAAAATGTAGATGTTTACACGTCCCCTTTGTAAATTCCGCGCTTCCCTCTTGATTAAAATGAATGAGAAAAATGGTATGATACCTCTTCCGCAAAGCATGCATTATGGTTGTCCACCTTGCAGCACTTCTCTCTAAAGGTGGTAAAAGCTGTAGTGATGGAGTCCAGCTGTTCTTTTGTAATGTGAGGCTTGTGTTTGATGAGGTTGATGAGCAGACTGAAACACAAACAAACCTCAGCAATACACAGCTAAAAGTAAACACATGATTTACTGAAGCATTGCTATTCCTCCGATTCTGCAAATCCTTGTTTTAAAGTTTTGTTAGCACCCTTTTCACAGTTTCATTATGCCTGGCCAACTCCCCATGGAGAACTCTACAGCTGAAAGGAAATCTCTCTAGCATTCCCTAGTAGAGTAGAAGTAGTAACCTTTGGGTTTGAGTTTGATCGGCCCTGAACATGTATGCAATTCAGCAGTAATTTTTGTCATGGTGTGTTTTACTTTGGAGGCTCGGGGGGAGGAGGGGGAAGAAGGGAGGAAGAGGAATGGAAGGACCCCAAGCACCTCAAAAGGCTGCCAGTTTGTACATATGATATATGCAGTTCATGTATCCAAATGGAGAGTGGCTGAACCAGGCCTGCATGAGGCATCCTGTCACCTAACCAAAAGCATTAGAGAGTCTCTATGTGACATGGATAGCTTGTGTAGTAAGCAGAGACAGGCACTGTGCTCCCCTGGGAGGAAAGCTATTTGCAGAGGAGTCTGCTTTTTGTAACAGCAAGAGCAGCCAGCTTTTTAGCTGCTCTCTGAGGAAAGAAGATACAGCACATTAAGAGCCAAGGGTGCCTATACACGAGCAGGGAGGCTGCTCTGACCCACTGTAATTCCAGTGTGGTAGAGCAGACTTGATAAATTGAGTCTGCTAGAGCATGGTAACTACCATGCTCCAGCAGCCTCCTATGTCTTGTGTATCAGTGTCCTTGCTCTTCAAAATGGCCGCAGAGGTGCTTCATCTAAAGCTTGTTCAACAAGCACAGGGATGCTGATATGTGAGACACTCTGGGTGCTTTAATTAGAGTTGCTGTCAGAGCTACTATAATTAAAGTGCCCTCCCCTGCCTGCCTTCCAACCCTACTGAAGCACATGTATAACTGCCCCCAGGGCCCATTAGCTCTAAGGTAAATCATAGAGCTACTGAGGAGGAAAGAGTTATATGAGCTCTACCACAAAGGGAAGCAAGGGGCCCTTTTTACCGTAGGGGTGGAAGGAATGCTACGTGGTTTTTAGTCTTAGGAGGCCTAGGTTGAATTCCCTGGTCTGCTGCCTTTCTCTGGCGTCATTGTAATCATTTTCAAGTCATGTAAACATTTTGTGCCTCATTTCTCCATTTGCAAAATAGGGATAGTAATGTTGTCCCACCCACACCTATATGTGTTGTGATAAAGGCCTCAAAGATTGACAAATATTGGGTGTATCTACATGTGTGCTTTACTGTGGAGCTGACCAGTTAGGTCTACAGTAAAGCACCACTGTCTACACGTGCACCCATATTAGGGTGCATTAAATTAATGAGCTGCTTTGTAGGATAGTACTATCCAGGGCAAGTACTATCCTACAGCGGAGTAGTTACATGTACTGAAACGCACATGTAAACAGTGACCAGGGCTGACTACGGTACAAGGGTGCTAGAGTGCAGGGGACTGCCTGCTGGCTAGCCTCACACTGTAGCACCCTCATGTCCCATCCAACTCTTCCACAACACATTTAGCTGGGGTGGAATAGCCCCAGGCTGGCAGGCTGACCCATGAGGCCCCCTGCCAACTGGGGCTGCTGTACCCCAGCTCAAAATGATGTGATCCCAGGCACACACATAAACACTGCACCCAGAAGCAATAAACTCTGGAGTGAACTGCACCAGAGTTTATTGCTACATTCTAAAAGTACGTGTAGATGCACCCACTATGATGCTACAGTCATGAGGATTATACAAGTACCACAAATAGACAGCCCAACTTTTAAAGTTTGATGTCCTAATGTAAATACCTGAATCTATATCTGGATACATAAATATACATTTTAGGAATTTTTCTGCTAATTCAGGCCATTAAGATTTCAAAATGGAGTCAGACAGCATTACAGTGATATAGTCATGATGGTCTAAGAATTATGTAAGAGTCAAGGATTTTTTGGGGTGATATCTTTTATTGGACCAACTGCATGATTGGGATATAATTAAACAAGCTTTTAAATGCAAGGCACTCTTTTTCAAGGAAGAATGCCTTACATTCAAAAGCTTGTCTAACTGTATCCTAATCATGCAGTTGGTCCTATAAAATATACTGCCCCAAAAATCTCTGCCTCTTGCAAAATGTACTATCTAATTTCATACATCTCATGAGCATAAATTTAAGAAACTTCTGAGCTCTCATCCTCTGAAAAAAATCTCACCCGCTGCTGCTCCCTCAAATTGGGCACCCAGAAACATAGGCACTTAAAAATATGGTTCATAATAACATTTTAGGCCTTAAGGATGAAAATATCAAAAGCTCCTCAGAGACTCAGGGTGAGATTATACATTACAATTGGACAACGTTAAGAGCACTTAAAACTTGAATGATCATACATTAAAGCTCATTAACAAGTGCTAAATGCCTTCTAGGCATTTTAAAGTTCTGCCACTTTGGGTGAGGATAATCTTTGAGCTGTGCTACCTAGCTTGAGTTAAATTAACTTCTGGATGTTCATCTGAGATTAAACTACCACTTTGCTGTCATCCCAGGAGGCACTGCTTCCAGTTGAACTAGCTAGCACATGGCACTCTACAGTCCTGGACTGACAGCTGTGAATAGCCAGGCAACAGGTACGTGGGAATGGGGTGAGTGGGGATGGAAGGAAAGGGGTGAAAGGGGCATGGGGCCTAGGGGAGGGGGGCATGGGTAAGGAGTAAGAGGGGGCAGGATTGGAGGGGGGAGCTGGTGTGGGGCAGATGTCGGGATGCTACCCCTTCTGACCCCCAAATCATTGCCCCCACCCCTAGATTGCTCTCCTGCCACCCCTTTTCCCCCTATAACCTCTTCACCCCTGGATCACTGCCCTGCAGCCCTGATCAGCCCAAGAACAGTGGAGGCACCAGTAAGGAGAGTTCTTCCTCCCTGCAAACCATGCTGACCACGTGTGGCCCTCTTCCCAGAACCTCTTGAGTGTATAATGACAATATTTTATAGAAGTAGAACATTGGTTGCTGTGGTTCCCCTGCTTTACTTGTGGCAGGTTAGGGTGTTCGGTTTATGTTATATCAAGGTTTG